GGGTAAGATGGATTTGTATTTCTAGCAGAATCCTTAGTTTCCCTGGACACAAGATCTTTCCGATGCCTCCATGGGATCCTTAAATTATTCTGAATTTATGATTAAACATTCTGACCCCTAGCATTCCTCAAACCACAGTTTCTAATTCATGAGGACCCTATGCGTACAGGAAATACCTAGTAACTTATGTTGCCTTTTACTTCCCAACACTTCGCTTTCACTTTCTTCAGAATCCCCGAGCGTCCCCAGCACCCCCACCCTAGTCCCCAGAGCAGCTGCAGCACAGATCCAAGAAGCCATTTCAGGCACTCAGCCCACCCTATCGGCTTACAAGCTCTGTTTTTTCTTGGCACTTATAGGTACTCAGCTAGGAAGTGACAAAATGGCATCAGCAAGTCTACTACTGGTTCACATTTCTGATGGAGCCAAAGGCCAGAAGCAGTGTATTTAGGGGAAAACGGTCTGATGGCCTTAAAAAGAAATCTGAAATTTATTCTTTTCTGCCAATCCAAATGTTCTGAAAGAAAGAGCCGTACTCAACTGGTTGATTTTTCAGGTTTATGGTGCCTTATATCACCCAATGCATGAGGATTCCCTGTGAATGAGAAAACTGCTTTAGAGGAAAGTAGAATAATGTTTCTCTATCACCTGTTAGGAAGACACACACACTGAGGCCTTTATCTTTACAGGAACATTATCAAAGTTCTTCAAGAAAATATTCAAAGCCTCTGCCTTGACATGAAAAATAAGGGGGAAATACACAGTTCTAGAAGGAGAACCCTCCAAAATAAAATGTAAAAAATGTATCACACTGGCTTCACTTAGGTCAAGGTTTTGATACTTTGGATCTGAAAAAAAAAAAAAAAATGAAACAATCACATTTTCGTTTAAGGACAAGGAACAAAAATTAAATTTAAGTACTCTGTAAAAAAGTCCCCCGCCCCCCCCACCATTGCAAAGGTTTTTGAAGAGACACAAGTTGCCATGTTTTCTTAAGGTCTTCTTAAAAGACCTTAAGACCTTCTTACCATTGTAGAACACAAGTGCAATTAAAACTATGTTAGCAAAATACAAGGAAAAAAATTGGAAACTAGCAGCTGTAATAATTTTAAAGAGGTGAACTTATACTGAAACACTGCAGTTACATTATTCTGGAAGTAGAGATTACTGCTCTTCCTGGAGCAAAAAAATGTGCTTGTTTTGTACTAGTCTCCCCAAATCTCTTCTCCTTGGATGCAGGATACTCCCCTACCTACAAGCAGTCCTGAGGGTTAAAGATTATTTCCAAACACGTCTGCTCCTTAACCCCTTGTCTCCAGTGCTAAAAACCTAGAAGACGCAGGGAGCACACACCTTTAATTAACAAACGTTTGGACGAGAAGATGGGTTTTGTTAGTTAATGGCAAGAGTTAACCCTCCAAGTAAACAGGAAATAGCGCTACTTAGCAAGAGGCAGGTTCCAAACCAAGTCCTAATGGGCCTTTTTCCTCCATGCATATAGGCCTCTGGAATACAGCTGTGTCTGATGCATATAAAACGTATAAATCTCCCCTAGCTGAATGCGTGCTTCTCACTGGACCGGGGTGGGGGGTGGGGTTGGATTTCCTGTCGGTCCTCAGGGGATCCCACTTCTCCAGGTCCTCCCTATTACTGCATTTCTCTCACATAAAGAACCCACAGAATGGGCATGGCACAAAATGGAGATCTTCTAGCACCGGGTGAACCTTTCTGCTTCGGAGGAAAAAATTTATACAACTTCTCCATTTCGAAATTAGCGATGGCTTCCTCCTCCACAATAAATCGATCATTTAGAAGGCTTATTTGTTCTTGATCCGTGTAAAGCGATTCTAGCCACGGCTGGATAGTAACTATGGGGCTGGGGAAGGAGAAAGCAGTTTTAGTTAGGAACAGGAGGTTAAAATGCAGATCAGCCGGCCAGTTTTCATCTGTAAAGAACCCTCTCCGTGCTGCCCTTCCCCCCCCTTTTTAAAATTTCAAGACAAAGGGCATTTATTTAAATGTGGCAAACTCTGAAAATTCCTAGAAAGCGTGTAGAGTTGACACATACTCATTTCAGGGTCAGAGCTGGCCAAATCTGGCCAAGAGGAACTTGGTATTCCTCAGGAAGATAGCATTGAACAGGCTGCCCTTGGAGAAGTTACTGTTTCACAGCTAAAGCAGATGGGAGAGCGTCCACCCGGGAGGAGCGCCCTCCCAATCTCGGGCTCTGGGCATAGAATAATGACAAAAGTCGAGATTTAGGGTTCAGTTCCAGCTGATTTTATTTCCTTCTCAAAAAAAGTTATTTACAGAAGGTATATATCAACAATCTGACAGGCAGTGAACTTGACATGATTAGCTGGCATGATTTTTTCTTTTTTTTTCCCCCAAACCTTTTTTTTTTTTTTTTTTTTTTTTGTGGCCTTGAATTTTAAGACAAATATTCTACACGGCATATTGCACAGGATGGATGGCAAAAAAAAAGTTTAAAAACAAAAACCCTTAACGGAACTGCCTTAGAAAGGCAGACGTCCTAGTGCCTGTCATGTTATATTAAACATACATACACACAATCTTTTTGCTTATTATAATACAGACTTAAATGTACAAAGATGTTTTCCACTTTTTTCAATCTTTAAACACAACAGCTATAAACCTGAACACATATGCTATCATCATGCCATAAGACTAAAACAATTATATTTAGCGACAAGTAGAAAGGATTAAATAGTCAAATACAAGAATGAAAAACGCAGTACATAGTGTCGCGAACTCAAATCGGCATTTAGATAGATCCAGTGGTTTAAACGGCACGTTTTTGCTTATAAAAAAAGTGCAAAAAAGATGTGGTTTACAAGTTAAAGCTACAGGATCCCTTTTTGCTGTAAATGCACCAGTTTTAAAGCCTCTGGACAGAATGGTATTTTATTTAAAAAAATTTGTCTTTTCTTAAAAGCCTAACAGTGTTTGGCTAATTCTCCGCCCCTTTTTGTAAGACTGGGGTCGAAAGGTGGACACTGGTGGCAAGTTAAGGGATACTGTCACTTTAAGAAGCCTGCAGATTGAAGTGTAAACATGGAGAAATTAGGGGCTGATTCTTTAAACTGTGTGAGATATTAACCAGCCGCCCTATTATAAAATCAGGAAATCCAAACAGCGATTTACACCGATTAACACCCCCTTTATATATTTTTTACAAAAATACACTGAGAAAATAATCAAACGTTTTCATCTCTCTTGTCTTTTTTTGTTTTTTAAAAGTGTCAAAAGTCTACATTTAAATATAAAAAATTAAAAGTTAAAACTCTAGCCCTTCAGTGAAGGAGACGTAAAATGGCGTGGGTAACAACAAACTACCAAAAAAAGAAAAAATAATAATAATAAAATAAAATAAAGAAAAAAAAAGAACAAAAGAAAAAAAAAGGAAGGAAGAAATAAAGGAAGTTAAAAAAGAAAGAAAAGAAAGTAAACCAAAGATTAAAGTAAAAAAGGGACAAAATAAGAAAAAAAAATGTTTGGCCAGTATAAATACGTCCACATATAAAATGGCATCTGATTACATTTACAAGGAAAAAAAAATACGAGGATGAAGCATCGGTGAGGGAAAAAAACACGTCTTCTCATTTACACCTATAAGGAATAAACACATACACACTGAGAAAAAATTTGGTCCTGAATTGTGTTCTTTTTTTTTTTTTCCTTAAAGTCCAGCACAGATTTGAGTTGCGTTTGAATCCTTTAAAGAGTTAAGAATGAAAAAAAGCTGGTGATAATTTTGTTGTAGGAATCAAACATAGCGCCATCTATCTGCTTTTTATATTATCCTACACTATTTTAAAAACTGCTCAACAGTCTTATACAGAAATCTTTAAAAGATAGACAGGATAACATGCTATATTAACCCCACCAGTGAAATAATCCAACACCATCACGATTCCGATTTTAAGAGAAGAAAAAAACCTCTTTTTTTCCCCCCCCGCCCGAAACCACTCGCCCCTGCACGGCCCCCGGCACCACATCAAACAGTCCGCTCTCCTGCACGCCCGCGGGCCGCGGAGTCTCACCTCACTGATTTCGGGGGTGCCGGGTGCGGGGGCCGACAGGACGCGCCACCTGCCCCCGAACGTGCAAATCCGTCCCAGTTCCTCCGCTGCCCCCCCTGCGCCCCGCCCCGCGCCCCTCGCCGGGCTCCCCGCGGGGCTCTCCGGGCACTCGGCATCTCCTCCTCCGGCTCCGAGGGTTGGGGGCGGTGGGGTGCAAGGGCAAAAAAAAAAAATAGAAAAAAAAAAAAAGGAAGGAAGGAAGGAAGAGGAAAGGAAGGGAAAAAGGAAGAAAAACCCAGCAAAACGGGAATCCGCCAGCGTGGAGTCTCTCTGTCCCGGCGTTCGAGCCTGCTCCCCACCCCCCCCACAATCTGCCGTCGGTCCAATTCCACGCCCGGAGCTTTCTGTCTTCTTGGGGGGGGAGGGGATGGCGGGGGGTGCTGAGAACTCAATCCCCAGGGGCGCGTTGGGTTTCTTTCTTTTCTTTCTTTTTTTTTCCCCCTCCTCTCTTGACCAAGAAATGAGATAAAATAAAACAAAAACAGCAAGGGGGGGGGCGATGAAAAAAGGGACGAGATTCCTTCAGTCTCTAGAAAAAAAAACCCAAGTCGGCTTTTTCTGGGGGGGGCACCAGCCAAGTCCGGAAGCTCGTTGGAATGGGGGGGGGTCTCTTCGGGCAGAGGGGAGGAAACTCCAAGTAGCTTTTTTTGCCATCAACAACAACATCAAGAACAACAATAAAAGGTCGCCCCTCGTCTCCCCGCCGCCTCCTCCGCGTCCCCGCGGCCGGGGAGGTGGGGGATGGGAGTGCGGGTCCCCAAAACACCGCTGCGCTCCTCGCAAGCCGGCCCCGCTCACATTTTTTTTCCTTTTTTTTTTTTTTCCCTCTTTTCTCTCCCAACTCTTTCTCTGTCTTTTCTCTCTTCTTCTTCTTCGTCTAAATCTTCTTCTTTTTTTTCTTCTTCCCTCTCTTGCCCCCTGGCCCTCTTCTCCCAGCCCGCGCGCGCGCCCGTCAGTAGGTGAAGACCAGGTTGGAGATGCTGGACTCGAGCCAGTCTCCCGAGATCATCTCGCTCACCTCGGGCGTGCAGTAGTCCGGGAACTCGAAGTGCGAGCCGGAGCCGGGCTCCAAGTTAAAATCCAGGTCCCGGTCCAGCGCCGACGACGAGCTGAAGCTGCCCAGGGACATGCTCTCAAAGTTTGAGCTGGGGTTCAGGTCGAGCAGGTCGTCTTCGAACTCGTCGTCGGAGGACGAGGAGCCCGACGACGAGGACGAGGACGAGTGGGACGAGGCCGACGAGGACGCGTGCGAGGGCGCGCTGGACGGCGCGGGCGAGGCGGCGCGCAGGCTGGCGTAGCTGCGGTGGTCGGCGGGCGAGCGGCCGGCGGCGGGCGACGAGGCGGCGCTGCTGCGGCCGCTCAGGCTCGGCCCGTCGGGCGAGCAGCCCGCGCCGCCCTCCTCGTACAGGCCCAGGGGGTCGCTGGGGTCGGCGCCCGCGCCCACGCCGCCCGCGGGCGAGGAGGACGCGCCCAGGCCGCCGAACAGGTAGACGCGCTTCACCTTCTTGTCGGCCAGGGGCTTGCCCGGGGCCGCGAGGCCGGCCGAAGAGGCGGAGGCGGCCGCGGAGACCGAGCCCGCCGCCGCCGCCGCCGCCGCGCTGGGAGTCCGCGCCTTGTACAGCGAGTGGTGGTCGGCGGCGGCACCCAGGGGCAGCAGGGCCTGCTCCGCCGCGAAGGAGGGTGCGGCGCCCGCGGCCGCCGCCTTCCCGCCGCCGCCCGCCAGGATGAGCTTGGCGTGCGGTTTGCTGACCCCGCCGCCCGCGCCGCCCGCCACTTTGGAGCCGCAGCTCTTTTTCTGCGCGGGTTTGGAGTTGGCGCCGCCGCCGCCCGCGCCGCCGCCCCCCGCGTTGCCGCTCCCGCCCCCGCCGCCGCCCCCGTGGCCGCCCCCGCCACCGACCTTGTCGCCCTTCTCCCCCGGCTTGGAGGAGGCGGCGGCCGAGGCGCCGGAGCTGGCGTTGCCGGACTTCACCTTCTTCCTGGGCCGGTACTTGTAGTCGGGGTAGTCAGCCATGTGCTTGAGGCGCAGCCGCTCCGCCTCCCGGATGAAGGGGATCTTGTCGCTGTCTTTGAGCAGCTTCCAGCGTTTGCCCAGCCGCTTGGAGATCTCGGCGTTGTGCATGTCGGGCGACTGCTCCATGATCTTGCGCCGCTCGATCTGCGACCACACCATGAAGGCGTTCATGGGCCGCTTGATGTGGCCGCTCGGCGTCTTGCACCAGCTCGGGTCGTCGGCCTTGCCGCCCGTGGACGCGGTGGAGCCGGGCGTGGGGGAGGAGGCGATGCCCAGCTCCAGGCCGGCGCCCGAGTCCGAGCTCTCGCCGGCCAGCAGCGCTTCCGTGTTCTCGGCGTTGTTGGTTTGCTGCACCATGGCCCCGGCTCGGCGGGCGCCCACGCGCGCTCACACCCTCGCGGCGGCCGCCGCGGCGCGATCGCCGGGCCCTCCCGGCTTCCCGGGCCAAGCACACGCCGAGCGGGAGGACGCGCGCGGCGGCCGTGCGGGCCCCTCCACTACTCGCCGGGGCGGTGCTGGGCGCAGGGAGAAAAGTCTCCAAAGGGTGCGGGCAAGGAGCGCTCTGCCTCTTGCAGAGCAGTTATAGTTCCCAGGCTGGAGAGTCTCCTCTCCCTCCCTCTGCTGCTCGCTCTCGCTCGCTTTCTCACCGCGCCGCAGTTTGCTCTGTCTCTCGGCTCTGAGTCTGGAGACCGTGCTAAAGTGGAGAGGAGTTTCTTGAATGCTGGCTGCTGAAGCTTCCAGTGCAAGTTTCTCGCCGCCTCCCAGGCAAGTCTTTTTTTTTTTTTTTTTCCTTCCCCTGAAGCAGTTGGTTCCAGTTCACGAGCGCTCTCAGGAGCTCAGGAAAGCGACATAGTCTCTATCACTTAGTCCCTTCCCTACCATGCAAAGCAAAAAAGGCTCTGGTTCCAGGACTCTCTGTGGGCGGAATCGGCACTAAGGAGTTTGTGCAATTATTTTGTTGCAAGGTAGGAAGCCAAAAAGCCTTCGTGCAACAGACTGGCATGAATAAATGTATGTCTCCCCCTCCCTTCTGCAAGAAGGGAGCTGGTAATGGCAGAGTTCCTCTAATGCAGACTCTTCGAGAGCGTGCAAGAACTAGAGACCCCGGAGCGAAACAGGCCTCTTCCCCTCACACAGTTTCTCTTGCTGCAGCTTAGAGCAGACCCCAATTCCGCCTCGCGCCTCTTTATCCTTTCACAGTCTTGGCCGCGGCCAATCAGCCGCTGTAACCAACGCTTCCTCGTGCCAAGCCCCTCCCCCGGCCTTCCCATTGGCTTGGAACCCGATGCAATAATAATCTCCGCGTGCAATGAGAAGCTCCAAATCTGACCTCATTCCAATTTACAGAGCAAACTTTTTAAAAGGGCTAGAAGTACAGCTGAGATTTCTGCTGCCTTTTTTTCCTTTTGCTGTGTGTGCGCGCGTGTGTGTGTGTGTGCGCGCGCGCGTGTGGTGTGTAAAGAGGATGTTAATGCATGAAATTATTAAGGGGAGAGACGGAAATGTATTCTAACCATTATGTTAGATAACAAGGGGCTTGGAAGTTGGGGGGGTGTAAGGGTGAAATACTGTAAATGGAAGCTTTCTGCTTAAAAGCCAAGTGATTATTTTTATTAGTTCTTTTCAGTACTGGAATAAAGAATCAGCCTCGAGTGCAAAATCTGTTCCTCGGATCCTTCATAAAACCAAGGATGTAAAAGGGGGAAGGAAAACCACAACAATAAATCAATGGCTATTGAAAACCATTAAGAAAGTGGTACCTAGACACCTGTCATCACAATTATTTTAACAGCTCTAGGTACAGCACAGATGTTGATGTATTGTGTAAATCCCTTCAGAGCAATTTTTGTGCTGTTTGTGGAAGGCAGAGAAGAGGAATTTTTGCAATAATTGCTTGCTCTCTTAACCAAACAGGGGTTAACTATGCTTATTTAATGATTTAAACTCCCCTATAAATCCTGGATAGCCCAAACAGAGGAGCTTTCCTTTGGAACACATTACACAGTGTTGCCTACTTAACTCAAGGGGAGACTTTCCATAGAGTTTCATATAGGATGGTAACATGGAGTAAAGGGTTGGGGTCATTTTTACTTTCTAAATATTTGTTTTCCCCATTTTCAAAATTAAAGATTTCTGCGCTCTCTTTCTCCCTGCCCCAACTCTTCTTACTCCTTTCCTTTCTATATACTTTCTCCTATATATTCCTCCTATGCTACTTGAATCAAACTGAGCTAAAAGGCCAAGGCCAAGGGAAAGACGGCTGTGGTGTGACTGGTAGCCGGAGCCACCAGCACCTCTGGATTCATGTTAGACCTAGATGCTAGTCCTTCTTACTGGGTTTGTACTCTGCAGAGATGCTTGAGTCTCAGTTCTCCTCATCTTTGATATGGGAACACTAAGAGATACTTTATGGAGGGTTGTTGTGAGGGTTCAGTGAGTTTGATGTGTTGTAAACCCTCCATGAATGCTATTATCTTTCTCTTGGTAATTCAGATGCCAGAGACACTCCTTCTAGTAGAATCAGCATATTGTTGTTCATGAGCCTCAAGTTGAGGATGGTCACTGATTTTTTTTTTTTTTTTTTTTTAAGTAAGCTCCACACCGAACATGGGCTTGAACTCAGGTACTTGAGATCAAGAGTAGTATGCTCTACCGACTGAGCCATTTAAGAAGTAATCGCAGATCATGTTATATGCGCCATACAAGGACAACAGTGGCAAGCCTGTGGTCTTCAAGATTTTAGACAAAAGGAACTTTGGGGAAGAGTATTGTGGAGAATTTGCCAGGTAATCAGAATACATGTTTATTTGGCCACAAAAATTACCTCTATTCCACTGTGTGAAAATTAGAATTCTAGTAAAAATTGGTCTTTATTAATGCCATAATAGTCAACTGTTTTTCTAGGCCAGAGATAGATAGGTGGTTAGGTAAGGGCCAACCCGACATAATTAAGTGAGCTTTTGATTCCGATCAGACTAGTGCTAGGCAGCAGGTTTCTATTCATCTTGTCAAACTTTTAAAGTATGTAGGCTGGCCAGAGGCCCAGGTTGTCAGATTTAGAATTTTACTGAAAAGAACACCCTTTGGAGACATCTGGGACTGGAGCTGTAAAGATCAACCACAAGCAAGAATGTTTTTGCAAGTTAAGGCAAATAATTTTTGACCAATAACTACCCAACTTATATACTTTTCCTTTAGAGTGGGGGAACAAATCTTAAACAAACAAGCAGAAACCCACAGGTACCTTTTTTTGCATGTAACAAAGTTGGGTGTGTCCTCATGCATTTTATTTTCTTGGGTGTACACACCAGGACGCCGGAACAGTCTTAAACTCTGATGGAGAAGTTACTCTAAAGGGTTTGTTCTTTATAAAGTCAGTATCTTCACTAGGATAATAAAAGAATAAATACTTATTAATAAAATATTTACTTTGGAATTTGTACCAACTCATGATTTGAGTTGTACTAGTTGTGTAGCTAGTTTGTGATGTCAGTCAAGGTGACCATCAGTGTAACTGATTACATTTTTAGAACCAGCTTTGCTTCTTCCATCACTGAAGATGATGGGGGAAAGTGGGATTTCATCAAAGAAGTACTAGTAATTTTGTTTATGCTTAAAACACACAAGTTATTTATTTATTTATTTTAAGATTTTTATTTTCAAGTAATCTTTACACGCAGTGTGGGGCTCGAACTCACAACGCCAAGATCAAGAGAATTTTGCAGGCTCTACTGACTGAGCCAGCCAGGAGCCCTGCACACAGTTTTTCTTTTTTCTTTTCTTTTTTTTTAAGTAGATATGAAAAAAATAGCCACTGGCCTATTTCTATTGTGAAATGTATATTCTGTATTTTAACAAATCCAGTAGATTTTAAGACACACCATTAAAGGAAGGAAGGAAAACTGCCAGTGAGACATTGAGATGCCCCTGGTTGTAAGACCTTTCCTTATGCCAGAGATGTTGAACATGAAGAGGACAGGTGCTTAGAACTGAAGAAATATGATATTAGTAATTTTCCCTGGCTTTATGATTATAGTATGTATGAATGCTTGGGCTCTTAAAGCAGGTTTGTTCTTCTATGTGAGTATTTCTTCTCAAATGTAAGAAAACATCTGACATGGCTTTTATTAAAGTCCATCTTTCTCAGCAACTCAGCAACCATACGCATGCTGGAATGTATTTGGCCTCTGAATACCAAGTAATGAGAAAAGATTTCTCTGTTCTCATTACCTAACTTCATACGCTTTGTAACCAGTTCTTTGTTACTGACATTTTTTTCCCCAAATACCAGATATTTGGTGGCCCCTACTAAATCAGTACTCACTGTTCCCTCTGCTGGCTTTGCAGTACATGAAGTAATTCTTAATGTTACTCTTTAAGCCATATTAACAGCAAACCAAGATAATTTTGCAAAAAATAAATAAATAAATAAATAAATCCTGTTTTAGAATAATAAACTAATTGTCTTTATTGGCCCTGATGTTAGACATTTCAAATTTTGAATGAAGGTAAATTATCTTATTTTCCATTAAATAATGGAATTGTTTGGGATGTAATATCTCTTAATTCATTTCTTCTGCTCTCACACACCTGTACGACATGAACTCTCACATCCATAAAATGGTATGGGGTATAGATGGAAATAGGATTCTATCGCACTGCTTAATATATTCCTATAGCATTGGGTGGGGGGACTGAAGGGAAATTAGTTTAACAAATCTCCTGGATTTGCACTGATTTGCAAGATTTTGCCTTGGCTTGGCTATAGAAACCATGACTGTGGGAGCTGGTCTAACCTGACAAGTATTCAGTTCAAATGAAATGGAGGGGGTAGGGAGCCTCCCCCCTCCCCCGTCTTTGTTACTTTAGCAGGCTGGGAAGCAGCCCTGGGAAATTCGATGTCATTGGACTTTGTCAACTGAAAGGCCCAGGGTTTTCAGTTCCACACTTGAGGGAAAAGAACCCTCCAACGGAGGCTGATTTACTTCTCAATCAAGTAGGCAAATACAGCTTCCACTTCAACCTTTTTGGGCTCATGAAATTTTAACTTCCCTTTCAGGGTTTGTATTGAAAAATAACATATGGAAGTGACTCTTATTTACAAAATACCAAAATAAGGAGGCTGGGGCAAAATGAAATCCATGATTTATTTTCACTCTTCGAATAAGCTAAGAGGCAAAGAATGTCTAATGATTTTTACCACTTTTTCTCCCCCTCCTAACCACTGAGTAGCGCCTGGTAGCATTAAGCAAGCATTTTATGGCAATGCTAAACTCCCTTTTCCTTTCCTTCCCATTTTCTCACGAGCACAAGCAGAACACGTATTTCTGCCTGGGTCACGTAAATCTGAAGCCTGAATTCGAGCTTTTCTGCTCCTTTTCGCCAGGCCCCGGCAAGGCACACCCACCCGGAGTCTGGGTCGGCTCCGCGCCCGGTGGGCTCCCAGTCTGGGGAGAAGCAGCCGCCAGGTGGCAGCGCTGAGCCTCCCTGCGCCCGCGGAGACCGGAGAACGTGGGGATGGTCGGACTTCTTTCTTCGCCTCCTCCTCCTCCCGAACCCCTACCGTCCTCCCCTACTCTGCCTTCCTTAGGTAGCATTTAAACGATCAGCGGTTAATAGGGTATGTCGGCGAATTCAGATGATTTCTCCCATAAATCAAAACTTAAGGCAAACCAACCGCCGCCTCCTGTTCACTCGGCAGACCCTCGCAGAGACCGGGGAGGCCGAAGCCGGCCTCCCGTTTGGACGCGGTAACCGAACCTGGAGCTTCTCGGTTACCACGTCCGTATCGTGTTGCTGCAGCAGGCACGAGCGAGTCGGAACGCGGTTTCCCGGCCGGCCGCGCTCCGCTTGGGACAGCGGCTTTGGAGAAACGGCGCGAGCGACTTAAGGACGAGCTAAGGCCACCCCCTCCTCCTTAAAAAATGGTTTCCCTCGGCCGGGGACGCGGCGCTCCCCCTGCGCTGGGCTCGGCGGGGACGCGGCGACGATTCCCGGTGCTCGGCCTCCTTCCGCCGCCGCGGCCGCGCCTCGCCTTTGGATAACAGTCGCAGGGCGGAAATAAATTGGGATCGACCCGGGCGGTGCGTTTGGACGAAAGTCTTTCCGACTGTAAACACGTTTCAGGCGATCCTGTCAGCAGCGTTTTAACACCCGTCTTCCGCGGAGGTTTTACGAGCCGGGAAGGAGCTGGAGGCGCGCGCGCGCACGCTGCCCCCGGGAAGACGTGCCCCTCCGGCGCGCGCTCCCGGCCCTGCTTTGAAGTCGCGACCGGCGTGGGCTGCGGGGACCAGGGCGGGGTGGGGGTGGCCCGCGCGCCCCTCCTCCGACTCCGAGCCCGCC